TTATTATTATTTCATTTGAGAAGAAAAAGAAGAAAAAAAAACAACGACTCCCATTTCAACATCTGCTCAAGCAAATTGGATGATCTCATAAATAATTTAAGAGTTTAAAGAGATGAGGAAATGTCAAAATGATTGAGCTCATCAGCAATGCCCAAATGAAGATGCGAGAGTGAAAAGAGGAAAAATATCAACAAAACTTATTTTCATTTTCAAAATCATTCCTCTTCTCATGTTTCGCTTGTCATGCCCAAAAAGCGCATATTTTTTCTGTTTGTCTGTCGCGAGAGTGCGAATAAGAAATGATGTTCATATGATATTTTCATATCTGTGAATTTATAAATAAAATTTCTTTTCTTCCATCTCATCGATAATGACAAATTTCACTGATTGACAGCTAAATTGGCTGTGCGATGGCAAAAAGTGAATTTCCAATCCTGTCACTAACCTCTAATGTAAAACAGAAAATATATGTATATATCTATAATGCAAGAGAAAGACGCTGAAGAGAGGCAAAAGTGATGATCGCGCTTATGCTTTGGGTACATTGCTCCATCTCTTTTCCATCTGACTTCATTTTAATAATTTTTCATTCATCATTGACCCTGATGAATGGACAAGTAAATATACAAGACAACTCTCAGCCCGAGTGCGTACATAAATGGATGAGGTGAAATTTGACTTTCATCTTTTCGATTATATTGTCGTTTCTGCGCTATGCCGATGAATCCAGTTTTTGATCTTTTCTCTCTCTTCACCGTTTGCGCGCCGCTCCGGCCATTTCTAGCCACACTCCCGCCAAGTCACAATGCCCGATCTCAGGGCAACTCCGCGAGATGCCATAGCCAATCAAGTGGAAATTCGCAATCACTTCATTCCCACACTGTCTGAGCTCAGTTTTTTCGTTTATCAAAACCCATTATCTCTGCTTTTCGTCTGTTCGCGCGCTCCACAACAAACCATTAAACTCCAAACGTGTCCACGAATCTCGAGAGAAAAATGATCCATTTGCGTCTCGCGGAGAAATAAAAGACCAGATAATGCATGATTTCGCTCAAAAGTGCACGTCCGGATATACAGAGAGCGAGAAAAAAAGCCCCACAAGTTGACAAAAGCATCAAAATTTTGATGAAAGTTGCCGGCAGCTGGTAAAACTTTTTCTTTCATTCAAATTGTCTGGCATTTCTTCCGAATGCTCTCTTCTTGTCTACCTGAATTATTATGCCAAAAAAGACGCACACACTCTCGATTGAGAGTGAATGAGAAATGTACGCGGGGAAAAAATCGAGAGTAAAAATGAGCGTCGCAAAAGAGATCATACAGGTTTCACTAATCACATCATCTCTCAATCATTTCTTTTCTGGGGCTCTCTTAAATGGACTCTCAAGAATAATACAGTGTGTGTCTTGAGAGATTTTGGAAACTTTATGAGCCCCCAAAAGGCGAGCAAGAAATACCAATTTTTACTTTCTATTTCCTCCTCCCCAGATTAGCGCGCGCACTCAAAACACAGAGATCAATCGCCATGGGGAATTCCAACAGCTTGGCTCACTACAGTCCGGACATCGAGGAGAAATGGCACCACTCCCTGCCTCAGCCGGCGTATCAGCAGCAGATCAAGGTCCTGCCCGATCTGGCGGACACATCACGACTTCGGCCCACCAACAATGGTGTCATCCTCCACTCCGGAGGCACCCTGACCGGCCGGCGGGAGTCCATTGGCGCCATCACCAGCGGAGTTCATCGCTCGCGCAGCATCTCCTCGCCGACGCATCATCATGAGATGAAGTACAAGCCAGGAGCACTGCAGAGACACCACACGCAGCTCGAGATGGTGCCCAATGGCAGGAACTACGCTGCCCAGGAGATGAACTACAAGCGCTTCGGCTCAGAGCCAGATCTGCGCTTCTCCGAGGACGACATGCTGCACCACAGTCGCAGTCTGCAGTCGAAGTTCGCCAAGGGGCGCAGCAAGAAGAAGGCGCCCAATGTGCCGCCCAATCGCCCTGGCTATGAGTACGATCCCAGTCGCTTCGGCTGGAAGCCCAGACAGGAGATGGAGGCCATTCCGGTGCCGCCGCCACAACAACAGCAGCAACCCAGGAAGTTGAGGCTGTTCAAGACGAAGGCCGAGTCCAGCAAGAAGACCAACAATCCCCAGAAGCTGGCCACAGAGGCGTCGGACATGCACTTCAGGAAGCCCTTCATGGACAGGAGGAATAAGTACTTGAGAGACAGTCGACCGGCTCAAGGTGAGGAAAATTTCTAAAGATATATCACTGAGATTTCCATATTCATTAATTAATGAGCCACACATTGACTATTAATGAAGAAATTCAATCCCACGCTCTCACGGAGGCAAATTAAGATTATTTTACAGCCCAATTAAAAGTTCCACTTTTATCTGCTCTTCTTCTCTTCAGACGACATCAATTTGCGACAGCCCGACATCACAGGCAATGCCAAGTCCAAGATCCAGTTGCTCCCAATGCCGCAGTATCGCAGGGAGAAGTCATTCGACTTGAGTCTCCTGCTCAGCCGGAAGAAGGAGGAGACGAAACCGTCACGGGCGCCGGACACGTTCAGGAAGCTCTCGGATGACCTGAAAAGTCCTCCCAAAGCCAAGGCGCCGCCGTCGCCAAAGTCGAAGGCCAGAAGAGCCTCGCAGCCACCTCAAGTGGTCGGCAATGACTTCCAGAAGGAACTCCTGGAAGCCACGCGAAGGCGCTCGATGGCCGTGAAGCAGCAATCATCGACAGACAAGCCACAGAAGACGACGGAAGTGAAATCTCCCGCCAAAGAAAGTAGTCAAGTGACGCAAAAGAAGACGTCTCAGGGTGTTGTGGAACAGAAAATAGTGGCGAAGCCAAAGGAGCAGATCACAATCAAAGTTCCAGCAGCTGATGCGCCCATTCCCAAGCCACCGGCACAGCCCAATCCTCCAGCGGCGCCGCCTCAGGCGGAGAAAGTGGCCCCCAAGACCTTCTACTTCGGCATGGGAGACCCTCAAAGCTCAAAGGTGAACGATATTAATCTGGAGAAGGTGGAGAATGAGGCCATCGACATCTTCGCCGAGAGTATCCTGAACCTCAAGCGTCGACCGCGCATGACAGACTCCTCAGAGTCCGCAATGTCCTCAGATGCAGAGGAGAATATGCTGCAGGACCTGGCGAAAGGGGATGACGAGATGGAGGGCATTTCTCTCCAGCTGCGACCGACTCTACCGAAGAAGCAGTTCGAAATCCCGAGATTCAGTCCGGCAGCAGCGTGGCGAATGCTCTCACCAGCCGCGGATACTGACAAGGAGTTCAATCCGTGGAAGATTGAGAAGCCAGACAACTTCAGCTCCAGCGATCGTCCTCCAGACACTTCTGTAAGTCCTCTCATCGCATCCATTCGAGCACACACATTCCCTAATCCTGTCAATCTCTTTCCAGTCACGCAATGAGGAGAGAATTGAGCGAATCTATCGTGAACCAATTCCAGGCTTGCCGGACAATAAGAGTGGCGACAGTGGAATCTCCGGAGATGCTGGACTCCTGGAGTTGACGGACACGTCGCCCATCAATGTTAACAGTGCCACGACAGGTGATGAGCAGAAGCTCGGACCGTTCCTGTCGCCCTGGACGCCACAGCAGGATCTTGGCGAGGAGAGCAGTTCAGACGGAGATGAGCTGAAGGAGAAGGCGCAAAAGGAGGAAATTGGGCAGAAGCACGCCTTCAGCTTGTCTCTGCCACGCGAAAGTAGCATCTATAGTGACAAAGTGGAGAAGCAGTCCTTCAACAGTCTGCAGAGACTGCGAAGGACAGTTTCAGGAGCATTCAATGGCCACAGTGAACCAGGACAACTGGACACATCACCCTATCGCAACGACAATTGGTTCTTGAGCAGATCAGCGCCCAACTCCATTGAGAAGAATCCTCTTCCATCCATTTCTGATCAGGTAATTTCAATTACTTGGGCGCGTCTTATGCAATTGCGTTTAACAAATTCGTCCTTACAGGAGGATATTGATAAGGATATTCCGCCACCAATGAATATCGTTCCATCAATGCAGCCTCCGTCATTCAGTTACTTAGCCGGTGGGAAGCACTTTATGTACTTACCGCACAGATCAGTGGTCAAAAGTGAATCCCTGACCGAGAAGACGACCTCAGCGAAGCGCGAAGAGCCGGATAATTCGCTGAATCACAGAGAGAACCTTCAATATTCACCAGCATCCTGGACTGTAAGTATGAAAGACATTAATTAAGAGACAATTTTAAGCATTCCTGGCATTACTTTCAGCCTCCAGTGAAGATGTCCAAGTCGAAGAATCACCGTTTCACCTTCCAGAGCACAGTTCGCCAGATCGAGAGGCGCCGGCTGGCTGAGAAGCTCTCCAAAGAGGCAGAGCAGAAGGAAGCTCAGCGTCTCAGTGAACTGGAAGCGATGAGGCGAGTAGAGGAGGAGTTTCAGAAGAAGCGCGCCAGAGAGAAAGCCTCAATTCGGCAGCAATTGAGGATGTTCTCCCTGGAAGAAAGTGGCCCGAATTGCACAAGTTTGCCACCCGAATGGCAAGTCAACACCGTGAGTATTTCGCCACCCAGAGAATATTCCTGCAACTGAAGAACTGTGCTCTCCGCAGGCCAGAGCTGATCCAGACGGAGCCGTCTCGAGTCCCACGCCCAGTCCAACGGCAGTTGAGGACTCCATGGACAATCTGGAGAGGAAGCGCGACGCCAGGAAGCTCAGCGATGACATGAGCATCTTCATGCCGCCGCCAATGGCCAGGAAGCCCCTGCACACGGAGATCCTGAACGAGATGCGCCTGTCCGGGCGTCGCTACTTCGACTACAAGCCCGAGAGTGTCGCCTTCAACGGCCGCGCGAATCATCTGCCCCAGATTGTGGGTCACATTCCCGCCAGGCGAGACGTGGACGAAGCGATGCGCTTCTGAGTCCGCCCGAGAAGCATTTAACATCCATTTTCTAGTCAGTGTTTTCACTTCCTTCCTGGACATGAAGTACTCTTCTATCGTTTATTGGTTGATGGGATCAACTTTCTTTGTTGCATTAACTAGTTTTTTTTTCCTTCACGGGACGCCGGAGAAGAAGTTACCTGACTCTTTTGGACACTCTTTTTTTTAGGGGGGAAAAGTCACAGACAATTCGCACAAGTGCATCAAGGATAAACCTTGTATAGTAGATTTAAGACATTATAATCTTGCTAACAAGAATCCAATGTGCAATGATATGCTATGTAATTTAGTCAGTAATTGTTTTAAAAATGACTCCCCTTTTTTAAATTATATCTTTTCGAGTAATTTTTATCGTTATTTGAGATACTAACAGTGTATATTTTCAGAAGAAAATTTATGTTTTGCGAAAAGAATAAAAACATTTAGTTATTTTTTCTTGAAAAACGACATTATACTCTTCGTTCCGGTCGCTGCCTTGGCCAGAGCCTTCTCCTTCGACGTCAACTTCACCTCTGGCACCTTCTCCTGCACCAGATCCGACTCGGCATACTGATTCTCATCATTCTCCGTCTTGATCTTCTTCCCTGACGCATCTTGAAGTGTCTTCGATGGCTTTCGCTTCACATTGGCCACCGATTTCTCCTCAATGCCCAGCTTCTGCTTCAGCAAAGCACTCAAGTCTTCAGATATATAGTCAGAGAGTATGGTGAAGGCGTAGGTGAGGTAGCTAGTGTCATCTTCAGTCTCACCGCTGGCGTCCGGAGAGATAAAAGTAGCCGAAACTGCTCCCTGACCGACAAAGATTTTCTTCTCCTTCAGCACTTTGGCGACTCTTTGGCACTTCTGGCTTAACCAATCGAGCGTTTTGATCTCATTGTACTTGAATCCCTTCACGAAATCATTACCTTTTTCGTCTGAGATCTAGAAATAAAGATTCATTCATTTCCAGAACTTCTTACAGCATTCTCTGAAAGTCTTACTCGAGTCATTTGCTTCGCGGTTACAATTTCCTGCAGCCGGGAAATGTGCGGGAACTCCTCGTCAACCAGGAAACTGTCTAGAGGAGCTGCCATCTCACTGCAAGCATCCACCAGATAGGGCAGGATGAGGAAGAGCGGATCAATCTCAGTTGTTATGTAGAGATTCCCATCAGCCTGGATGGATTCATCGATGAACCAGGAACGATAAGGCTGACAGAACTGCAGCAATTCCCTGATACACTTGCCATCCGTGGAGATGATGTAATTTGCTGCCTTGAGCGAGGAGGGATTCCTCAGCGAGATCACGTCCAGCTGCCCATCCTTAACCTCAAAGAGCTTCTTGTCCAGGAAACACACTCTCGTCTCTCCCTTCGGTCTTGTGAATACCTCGCACGTTTCGGCACTTTCTTTCTTATTACCTCTACCTTTAGCACCTCGTGATTTGGACATTTTCACCTGGTCGCCACTCCTCAAGAGACAATCAACAAAAACACAAGAAGACGCCGCAAATCACCGTGAATGCCTTTTTGGGCGCGCGCACTTTGACATTTCAAAATTTCCCATCGCGCGACGAGGACAAAAAACGCGCCAAAACCGCCAAAACTTTCACCGAGAAATCCCTCATATAAAATATGATAATTACTTTATTGAATTGCATCTCACGATCTTGAGAATGTAGAGATACTCTCCACGAATTCTCCTCTCTTTCACGATGCTGCCTGAGAAGCCCAGCGTGAGGAATGTCTTCAGCACTTCTTTGGGTTTGTTCTCTCGCAACAAGAGTAGATAGAAAATCGCCTTCTGGGACAGTTTATCCGCCAAGAAAGGAAATAAGCGATGAAGTGTTGAGCATCCATCCTTGCCACCCGCCCAAGACTTCACCAGACATCCCGCGAAAGTCCCACGATCTCGAGAATCATCTTCACTCGGCTCTGTGGGCACGTAAGGTGGATTGAAGATAAGTAAATCAATCGAATGAGAGCGGAAAGCGCTCAATAAATCCATTGCCGCCACATCAAGAGACGCCCCATTGACCAGGGAAGTCTTCTTGGTGGCCTGAAAGAAAAGACATTCGCTTTAGAGTCTTTCGGGAAGGAGAAACGCTGAGGAAAGTACCTTGCAAGCGTGATAATTGATGTCGATTCCAACACAATGAGCTGAAGAAGACAAACTCTTGGCCAGAGCAGTGATAATGACGCCACTTCCTGAGCCAATCTCGACACAGAGCAAAGGTTTCTGGTCTCTAATCTGCGGAAGATCCTCTTCGAGAGCGTCCAGAAGGAGAAAACTATCCTCAGCGGCTTCGTAAACAAACTGTAATGAAACACAAGAAACACCCAAATAAATCTCTTCCTTAATCTTGTGATTCAGTAATTGCTGACCTTATAATCTTCCTGTGTTAAGTGCGTGAGGAAAGGAGTTTCCATGTTGACGGAAGCTGAAGGCAGATTAATTGGGTGATGTGACAGAGTCTGAAGTGCCCAAATGAGGAGCTGACGTGGCCAATTCAGAGTCCAGCAGTGTCTTCCTCCGCAGCTTCTCACGATCCACCTGCTGATGAAGTCTGTTCAGGCGATCCTGCGCGCCCTGAAGAACGTTCGTGACAACAGTAACTTTGTGCTTCACGTTGATCAACTTCTTCACGTAACCATCCAGTTCTGGTGGCGTCTTCTGTGACTCCTGGATCTTCCGCAGCTCGTCGTGCAATTTGTCAAGCTGCTCTTTGAGCTCCAACTGCGACACTCTTCGAGAAAACACAGAGAAGATTCGCTGATAAGGATGATGAGTGGCGAAGGTGTGGCAAAATCATGCGGATTTACCTGGTTGCTCTCACTCTTTCGTCCAATTGATCAATGGCAGGCTTGAATAGGCCCATCAAGCCCTCCGCGAGGGTGTCTCTCGTTGGATTATCACAGAAATTCTCCGTATTTTCCTCTTCCAGAGAAGTTGTGCTCTCACTATCGTCACGGTCCATTTTGACACTCCGCCGAGAATTTCCCAAAACAAACCCAAGTGGGATTTTTGCCGCGCATCTGGCAACACGCGCTCGTCGCGCTGTCAAGAGCGGCTGATTTTTTATCTAACAACATCAGAGTTTTAGTGGGGAGAGAATTAAAAAGGTGTGCAAAAAAATCACACGAAAGATTATATTGTATCAGTTTGTCACGGTGACGAAGAATAATGATGGAGTAGCGAGTGGATCGCAGAAGATTTTCAGTCATTCAGTTACACCAGTGCGTAGAAGAAGGAAGTTTTTCACACAGTCCCTCACATAACATTCCAACGTTTTGTGGTGGCTTTTCATTGCATAGAGAGGAAAGAAAAAGTGTGATTCTGTGCCTAAATTAACCGAGAATCATCCCATACAGCGGAAGTGTAGAGTAAAGTAGCTCTCAAATGGCAACGGAGTGCGAAGTTGTGGCCCCAAAGTCAAATTCTAGGTATTGAATTAACTTTTGCCACTTAGTCAATAATAAAACGTACAATTTTCCCAGCATGAAAAATCTGTGATGCGAGCGCGAGAAAAGTTCAATGTCAAAGTCCGTGATTTCTGTTGATTTCGTCATTCATAATAAAGCAACACAGACATTATAAATAACTAACGTTGTGCATTCTTTCACTCACAAGAAATTATGATGAAATCCATGACTCAAGATCGTCCAAACACCTTTCATACATATCGATCAGGTGAATGAGTTAGCATTTTTCCTCTCCCCACAGCCAAGCAATTTAACATAATTATCTCACAACCTTGACTCTCAATTATATCCCTCCAACACAGCGCCATAAAGACAAGCGACGAGATTCTCGTGTGAGATTAATTCCCTTCGATACGCGACCAATACAATTGCAAAAGGATGATATTTCGGCGGAAAAACAGGAGTGACGTCTAATCGCTGACCCAATTCTCTCCTCTCCTAAGCAGCGCGAGTGTTGGAGAGATAAAATGAATTACTAGACATTTTGCAAACCTCGCGGAATCCAGCGCAAAAACTCCTCAGTGTTTCTCTTCAATGAAACGCGCGCGCGAAAAAACTCAATTGTGCACCTTTTCTGCGCGAATGTCCGGAAGTATTAACAGTGAAATCTCTTCTAGGACACCTTCGTGATCGACACACTGTGAAAATCCACTGAGAAATCATGTCGTTCTTAGTTAAATTGCTTAAATTACTCATCCTTTCTGCCATTTGCAGTTGGATTTGGGGCATCTTCAACTGGACCAGCAAATCACCAGTGATGCTGAGAAGCGCAGAGAAGCGAATATTTTCCTGTGAGTCGAACAAACTACGTCACTGACTTCACAACACTTCGAGCTGTCCGTTAACCCTTCGGTGTCGCTCTCTGTTTCTCGTTGCAGACCTCAAGACGGCCTATCGCGGCTGGTTCGTGGACATTGGGCCGGTGGTGAGTGATGCGGACAAGATCTGGACAGTTTCCCTCAATCCAGACGCCCCGAAAACCCCTCTGGTTCTGCTGCACGGCTTGGGATCCGGCGTGGGACTGTGGATCCTCAATCTGGACTCCTTCGCCGAGAACCGTCCAGTCTATGCCATCGACATACTCGGCTTTGGACGCAGTTCCAGGCCAAAATTCTCCTGCGATGCTCTGACGGCGGAAGGACAGTTCGTGGCGTCCATCGAGGAGTGGCGACGCGAGATGAAGCTCAACGAAATGATCCTCTTGGGACACTCAATGGGCGGTTTTCTGGCCTCCAGCTATGCCATCAAGCACCCTGATCGCGTGAAACACCTCATCCTGGCGGATCCGTGGGGATTTCCCGACAAGCCGGCGGACATTGGGAACAAGTACAACATCCCGATGTGGGTGAGGGTGCTGGCTTTCGCCCTGCAGCCCCTCAATCCACTGTGGGCCGTCCGAGCGGCAGGACCCTTCGGACAGTGGGTCGTGTCCAAGGCCCGTCCGGATATCATTCGCAAATACACATCAATCGTGAAGGAGGAGGAACTCATCCCGCAATACATCCACCAATGCAATGCTCAAACGCCAGCGTGAGTACAATTTACACTGTCTTATTAGAATCTGGGGTGAATAACACTGAGCTAATATGATGATTCAGCAGTTTGAAGCACAGTTAAAAAGGTCTTTCGCAGCGCAAAAGAACAGAAATTCAGTGTAAGAATTCAAGAAATCTCTTTTTAATTGTTCTATTGATAATCGTAGCCCTTTTTTAACAAGCCAAACACTTAAAATAGTTTTAAATGTTACTGTTGATGAAATTGTTCTTATTAGATTTTAATTTACACCAGAATTCACTTCTTGTCCCAAATTTTCTCCAACATTTAATTATAAACTTTGTTCATTGACTCACACTTGAAGAGAACTGATGTTTTGTCAAGTCACAAATTTCAGTGTATTTTGAATTTTCCACTCACGTTTCAGTGCGAAAGACACTTCGTCACCCCTTGAATTGAGAGTATCAGAGGAAGAGAGCCTATATAGTGTTCTCATTGAATTTCAGGGGTGAAAGTGCATTCCATGCAATGATGTCGAGCTACGGATGGGCCAAGCATCCCATGATTCATCGCATAAAGGAGCTGAGACAGGACATCCCCATCACGATGATGTACGGCTCTCGATCCTGGGTGGACAAAGCCTCTGGCGAGAGTGTGAAGCTCTCCCGCATTCACAGCTACGTGAATCTGCAAGTGAGTATTTGCATGCGAGAGAGCCAAAGTCTTTGTGCATTGAGGAATAATTGACTTTACCTAATTAGGTTATCAATGGAGCGGGACATCATATCTATGCCGATCGACCGGAGATATTCAATAGATACGTGAATGACGCCTGTGCCTTTTGCGACGGCGAACGAATGGCCAGTGAATCAACAGAGAATTCCTCATGCGAAGTCACGACAACCACAGAGGAAATGCCACCAATTGACACGAACATTGTGAAGAATGATGCCCAGTGACGAACACACAACTCTTGCCTCCACCCCAAAAATACACACATCCCCAATGGATATCAACAGTGAGATATTTGCCCAAGATGCATCGCAATGTATTATATAGAGAACGTACGATAATGACTAATTTATAGTGATGAAATACATAAGAGAGAAGATTCCGCACAAAGAATGTAATTTAGTGCACTTTGTTGCTCCCCACTCCGCGATGCACGGCGCATTTCCAAATGAACGACAATGAGTGACCACTAAATTTCCATAAATTGGAGTGGAAAAGTGGAAAACACACTATTTCACGATCAATTATATCTGTGAGAACGTGTCGCACGACTCATTTATATTCTTTTGCACTTCTTTTCCTGCCCAGAAGCAAATATTCAGTTCGGACTTGCACTTTCAGCTGATCGCACCATGAAGACTCTCCTCGCAATTTTCCTCGTGACGTGTTGTGGTAAGATAATGAGAAGGAGATTGTGAAGGAATGTGCATTCTTTTAGTGTGTTTTTTTTTAATATCATTTTGAAGGTGTCACAATGAGTGTTGCGGATATATTCAATAACTACGATCAACCTGCGGATGATTATGTGAACGCAATTATTGTGGAAAGTGTGCAAAAGTATGCTCACAAACCTTCAGACAAGTCTCAAGACAGTGGCAACGATAACTCACAATATTATCAGAAGGATAAAGAGAACAGTGAAGAGGCGCAGAAGTCATCAACAAATCAATACATGCAATTTACACAAGACTTTTCCAACCAATATGCTTCTCAGTCTACTCAATATCTTCCTGATCAAAATCAGCAGCAACAACAGCCTCAACAGCAACAACAATATTCACAACAATGGCAGCAACAACAGCCTCAACAGCAACAACAATATTCACAACAATGGCAGCAACAACCTCAGCAGCAACAGCTATCGCAACAGCAACAGCCTCAAATGCAACAACAAGCTCAACAACAACCAGACTGTCAGCAACAGCAGCCACAATATTCACAATCGCAGCAACAACCGCAAATGCAACAACAATATTCACAATTGCAGCAGCAACAACCGCAAATGCAACAGAAAACGCAAATGCAACAACAATACACACAATTGCAGCAACAACAGCCCCAACAGAACCAACAATATTCACAACAATTGCAGCAGCAACCGCAAATGCAACAACAACAGCCAATGCAACAGAAACCCCAAATGCAGCATCAATATTCACAATTACAGCAACAACCGCAACAGCAACAATATTTACAATTGCAGCAACAACCACAAATTCAGCAACAACCGCAAATGCAGCAGAAACCTCAAATGCAACAACAATATTCACAATGGCAGCAACAGCCCCAAGTGCAACAGCAACAACCGCAAATGCAACAACCGCAAATGCAACAACCGCAAATGCAACAACCGCAAATGCAACAAATGCAACAGCAACAACCGCAAATGCAACAACCGCAAATGCAACAGCAACAACCGCAAATGCAACAACCGCAAATGCAACAACCGAAAATGCAACAGCAACAACAGTCTACAAAGTCACAACAATATTTTTCTCTGCAATATCCACAATTTGGTTCATTTTCTGCTCCTTCAGACTCTAACAAACCAATTAAAAAAAATGTGAATCACCAAAATGTTCAGCTAATCAATATGGGACAGCAAAGTACTTCTAATTCCAAGTATGACGCTGATGAGGAGGTGTACAAGCAGCCAGCAGAACCAGACTATCAGTCCATAACCCTCGAGAACGCCGTCTTCAGTCCGCCAATTGTGCCGTCGATGGATTTTGGACCCATGGGTCCGTCTTATCCGCTGCCTTACAAGCATATGCAGTGAATTCGGTGCACTGTGAGTCAATTGTTCAGCTGACATCACAGCGAGACATCTTATCGCGGAAATCGTGACTTTTATACAAAAATGCAGACTTTTTATCGCATAACGACAATTTCATTGTGCCTTTCAAATCTTATCATGAGAGTGTGTAAAAAAGAATTTTTCTAATTGCTTTTTCACCTTTTATAGGGCAATGAGAGAGTGAAACGTGTACATTTCCCAGCCTTTCTAGATTACCTGATCCTGGAGGACATCCAGACTCTTTACTGTATTAGGAATAAATAACTGAGTGTATAATAAAATATATTTGGAAATATCAACAATCGCACCTCATTTTCCATTCATCGCTGGTCGCCAAAACTTTCTGTGATGATTCTTGTTTTCGTAACTTTTAAATATCTGATATTTCCCCAATAAATCCCGGACGCGCTCGAGGTGGCGTGAAAATTGAAAATGCCGCCGTGAGTGTGGAATTCGAAATGCGAGAAGGCGAAAGAAGAAGAGGCAAAAGTGTTGGGGATTTTATTGATCAATTAATTAATGGGATAGCGGTGTCGTAATCCCATAAAATCCTTCGATCCACTGTATTTTGCTCCTACACCATTCAACCCACTTCGCCATACATCAACCAACTGTTCATCCCACTAAATAAAATGCCCTTTGTCACACACACAATCTCGCAAAACACCCCATTTTTCAGGCACCGTCTCAGCGATTTGCCGCCTTTGATTCAGCACTGATGCTGAGTACTTAGAATAGACCACGTTGGTTCGGCTTTTGAAGTCAATAAAGGGTGAACAACTGCGTTTTCTGCACTTACACAAGGGATTTTTCTGTGAAAATCAATCATTTCTTGTGAGGAATTCTTAGTTTTTGATATTTTCGTCTTTAAAAAATACTGTTTTTCTTTATATTCTTGGTCACCACAGAATTTATCATCCCTTCCGGTCCATTCAACCCTACAGAAATCCCTGTCTCTCTGCCTGTGTCTGTGTTTTAAATTCAAAGCCATGACTCTCAGTGCGCACTTTCCATCCATTTTCAAAGCGTGCAGAAGAGCATGAGGGATGAAATCCTCGCCCAGGCCACAAGTATCAAACTAGTTCACAATTTAATTCAACCATCCCCATTCTGAGCCACGCACGGGCACAGCAGAGCGCCAGGCAGACGCCTCAGAATGGGCACAGCATCACTCTCGTTGCACCCCCTGCGCCCCCGCCGCCCGCCCGTCCGCCACCCACTTTGCCGGGGCAGAGCAAACACACAGAAAGTGAACACCATGTGCGGAAACCCCTAAAGCCAGAGAGTAAGCTTTCTGGTGTGTGGCAAAGCTTTCCACCCATCGAATGTTGAGTGTAGACGAGAATATATGCATTGATTCTCACCCCTTGAGTGTGGATTTGAGGGTGGATACACTCTATTGCTTTTGTCATAGAGTAATCGGATTGGAGCGTCATTTGTTACGTTGTGTATTTTCATTGGTGAACACATTTTTCACCATCTGAGCTTTTCTCACTCACACTGTCTCGCCCTCTCTCATTTGCTCTTTCATCCCCCGCGCGCACATGGAAAATCCGCCGCAACACAGCAAAAAGAATTTTTTTCCATCACCCCACAGCGCGCGTCAGAGGGTGAGTGATTCTGGCTGCTCATGATATCTCCATGTGGATTCATCTTTATGTCCAAATCCAACTGCTTCTCCCCTTGGATGTGGAAACAAAGAAAAGCGCTCCAAACTGGTAATGGATCACCCTGAGAGATATGGCAAAGTGTCTTCCTCGCCCCCATAAAGATGTGCGGCAAGTTGGGAAAAACACCCCGCAATATATTCAACTATTATTGCATTTCATAAAGAAAATATATATTCCAACATAAAACCCACACGCGCAGATCTGAGCAGAAAAACATGTATTCAGAATACTAAGGAGCGGAGGTTGTGCAATAAAATTCCATTTCTCTGATTGGATTTCTATTATGACATCCAATCTCTTCGGGGGAGAAAGCATTTTCCGCCCATGTTGAATGTGGAGATGAAAATAGCATAAAGTAAATTTAATCGGCACACTCATTATAATCCTCTTTCACAATCCGAAAAACCCACTAACAATTCGCTTTCTCTCTCTCACACACTCTGTCTCTAAAGCTCGCAGGCAATCAGTGGAGTGACTTTCGAAATAAAGCATCTCTAAAGCTTTGGTTGTGAACAATAAAACCCACCCCGAAAGTAATCACGCGGGGTGAAAGATAAAAAGCTCACAAGACGGAATGTGAGAAATTGGGCAAATGTGACAAAATTAATTCCATTTGAGTTTTGAGGGAGATTTTTGTGCCAAAATCGATGAGCTTCTCATTTGCATTTAATCCCACACTTTGCCATATTATATATAACCACCACCCTGTCGAAACGAATCCACCCCCGCACGCCAAGACACGCACAAAGAGAGTTGAAAATTTCAGGAATCAGGCAAAATTTGGTGGATTGAAAAATCATCTCGCACCCCTTCGCCTAACCAGCAAGATTGGGGAATTAATCGATGTGCCAAAATTAAATTAAAATATCCACCTTCAGTCAAAATCCAAACTCAGTTGGACTGTATGGAAAATAAACCGCAAATGCGCGGAAAGAGGGCTGAACACGAAGCCAAATCGTGGCAGTGTGAGTGAGACAGAGGGAGAAAATGGAAAATCGCGCCTGAATTTTAACATGTTAAAAAGCTTCCATGGCCACCAAAGTCTCTCCACTTCCTCCCCCCACTTGCCACCCCATCGTTGCCATCGTTTTCCATCGTGGTGGTGAAAGTAGGGCTTTCGCTGCCTCTCTCTGCTTCTGTTTGTCGGGAAATTCGTGTGGAAATGGTTGCGAGACTCCGCCCCAAAGGCGTGACAAACATCAAATCAAAGCATAGAATCGTATTTCAGTTCAGAGTTCAGGAGCTCTACATGAGCACAGGAGGGTTATGAAAATAGCACACAAAGTCAATTTGCACGGTTAGAAACGAAGGGGCGAAAGTGCACGTCAGGAATGGCTGAATGTTGAGAATGCGAATTTATTTTTAGCTTTATGATCAACTTGATTTTAAAGTCCGTGCCACGCGTAAAAGAGAAATCGCTGAAAAGAGCTTCTTCGTGAGGGAAAAATCATGAAAAAACTTATGGGAATTCGTGAAAAACTATTAAATCAACATATTTCCTGGCAAAAAAACTTTCTATATATAAAATTATTAAAAGCAAAATTCAAGGGGAATTTTTTAAAACCTTTCCAGACATAAAACACCTGATAAAACAACATGTAAATGTACAAATTCAGAATGTGGGATAAATAAGAGGTGAATAAAACTACTTTTTCTGGATTTAAAGGATGTAATTTAGTAAGATATCCTGTTCTTTGATGCACTGCGTTTTACTATAAGCATGAAATTGGCATTTTTATCATGCAATTAATTAAAACTATCAAGTCTGGGTGGTTTTATCGCATCGCAAAAGGTGAATTCAGTGGCGAATTGTGCGGGTTTTACGGTGTAGGGCCGGAAAGGGGATGCAATAAAAATGCTGAGGACGATTTCCCAGCACTTTGCCAAGAGTGTGTGCCAAGATGTGGATGGCAGGGCGAAGCGTTGCCGAGGGGTTGATGGTGGTGTGTGTATCTCAGTGGGATCAACTTCTGGTCGAGAGATGGTTGACAATTCGTGTGGCTGTGTGAATTCACGAAATGCGAGAGAGAGGCGGGAATTTCAGCATCATTTGCTGGAAAGCTTCCACCCTATTTCATCTACAATCACACACACACTGTCGCGGCATAAAAACAGTCACGGCAGCAGAAGCCACCGCGGCACCAGCAATTTTCCTCCACTCAAACAGCATCAATAAGAAATTGATGGTGGTTGATGCAAATTTAACTCTGGCACCGGAGGAAAAAGTGGAAAATCAGAGTGTGTAACTGAGTGAAATTAACAAACTACTGTATTACTAAAAATCCTTCCTCACGATTTCCTTGTGAACAATCCAGTGAGTAAAGTGCGTTTTTCCTCTCGCATCCAAACAGTGCTGTTTATTATTGAACTTCTGCCGCAGGTGATCAAAAGTGGTGTGAAATTATGGAAATATCAACCAACAATCTTTCCGACGGTTCAGGTAATTTTTCGCCACATTTCGCGCGGGTAGAAAAAATGCACGTGCCGTGAGAAAATCGTGAGGATTATTCTCAGCCAAGAGTGATAAAATGCCAGCAAATTTTCCAAGCACGTCCGCCTCAATGATATTTTTCAACGCATTGTTCTTAATCAAATTGTCATTTTTCCAAAATCTCATCCCCGCCTTAGACACTGTGTCCATTTCCTCCCTCGGGGTGGCTTTTTTCTCTCAATTTTTCACACCAATCCACCTTGTATGTAAAAATATACACAGACAATTTGACGCATAAAGCTCTAAGTTGTTCGCTCTGTGAATACTAATATGAATATCCTCTCTTCGGTGGCCTTTGTGTGAATTTTTCATCCCCAAAGACACCGCCTGAAAGACAGTGGATTTTTGAAGTGTTTCTTCATCACACGAACACCTGAGAATATCCAAAAGAAACTTGCCATCGCAATTAAGTCAAAAAATATCTGTGTTTTAATACAAGGACAACAGTTTAACCTTGTGCCTCACTAATTCTCGTCTACACGTGCTTGGAAGATATTTAACTCTTAGCCACGATCGCGCACTCTGACAAAACACATCTTGTGTGCTTGTCCAAAAATTGGCGCTTCAGAAGTTAAACTTTATACAGCTGATTCTCCGCCACGAGAAACCCGGCATGATTGAGACGACAAAAAACTAACAATTACTCGATGATGAGTAAAAATAGACGAAAAAGACGAAAAGTCATACACATATATGTGAAAAGACTTGGGCAAATAATGCTGTGAAATCATTAATAATTCGCTGATAAGAAGTATAACACCGCAAACTTCGTAGTGACACATGAAATTGTTGTATTCATTGTCGGCGCCAATTGATTAAATATCAAAATGAGAAATTTCTTGATATTTGCCCAAGTCACATTTTTGCTTATTGAAATTACAGGATAAACACTATGACTTTGTGGTACAACGTTGAAGTTTTTGCTACACCAGTCGTGAAATATTCTTGAATTTTGCAATCAAGTGCATATATTGTAATTCCGTGTAATTTCCCCTTGAAACCATGCAATGCAAATATTTGACGGCAACGCGTGGGAAAGCTTTTTTTCCCTTGCAAAGTGTCAAAGTGAAGGAAAAACTCCAATAAAACTCGAAAGTGTGATTGATGAAAAATCAATAGAAACCGCGCCACATTTCCTCCCAACAAGAAACATTCAAATAAGCCTCACAAAAATGTACAAATAAAAGTAAACAAGAGAAAGAGAACACAGACTGAGACAATTTAGGTGTCTGAAGGCAGTAAAAGGAAAATCATTGCATTAAAACTGCCACATGCTGTAAAAGGGAAAAAGTTACACCTGAAATTAGTTTACGCGAAATAGCGCAGATAAGATTGGTGCAGAGGAGACAGAAAAAGAAGAGGCCAAAGAAAAGAGTGATTGAGTCAGGAGAGATTTCAAGAATGAGATAGAGAAAAATTACTGACATGGGAAAAACTTTTTCAATTCAAGGCAAGAGCGAAGAGAAAGAGATGAGGAAATTTTTACGAAAGGAAAATTGCTCTTCTCGGGGGAAAAACCATTGAAAGTTTTGCTTTTCGCCAAACACTTATTTTCCTTTTCTCCTCCTTGTCCTTTGGCAGCGACGTGAAAGGCGCAAAACTTTTCTCTCTCTCACTCTTCCCGCCTCGCATTTGCTAAATTCGCGAAATAACTCAGGCAGAAATTAAATTACCAAAATGACAAATCCGATTTTCCACTCTTCCTTCGAAAACATTGGAAACATGGAATTTTTGGGGGGAGTTTTGCGCTCTCGCTTCTGATTTCGATGCTTCGCCCAAATGTAAATATTTGCAAAATACCTGAGAGACGAGACAATAACTACAGATATTTATGCTGACAGTGATCTCTGTGTATATAGAAAACGCCCCTGAGTTGAGTGATGGTTGAGCGAGAGGAAATTCTTGTGGGAAAGTGATTTGGGAGGAGAGCGTAATGAAATTTCCCATCATTTGCACTCGTCGTTTCGCTTTGTTGAGCACCGTCAAAAATGATTAGCATTAATTTGACAATAATGGAAATATATTGAGTTCATGGCGAAGACAGTCAATAAGTGAATTTATCCACCCACACACGAGTGTTGCTGGCGAAGGGTTGCTTTTATTGCCATTTTGCAGATTTATCCATCAACTTCAGTGCAATTTTATCTCACCCACAATTAGCTTGAAATATGTTCACTCTGAAATTATCATTCTAATTTTACATTCATTTCCCTTCTTTGCCAAACAAACAATAGATTAACACTTTCTGCAATTGAAATTGCAAATAACTCGAGCGGAAAGTGTGCAGAAAATGGATCGTCATTATTGGCTCTGGAATTTCCATTACTCTAAAAGAACTCCTCAATTCATCCACGAAGAAAAATCCTGAGTATACAAATGAAAAGAAAGTCGATGCGAGGAGATTTTTTATAATAAACACGTTCCTAGAAACGTGACATGACTTTCGCAATTTTGAGGGCAAATAAGAAGAACTTCATTCACATTTTTCCATACTAAACAGGCAGAAGAAGAAGAAAAAAAAAGTCGAGAAAATTCTATCAAATCGAATCGTCGAGGTCTTTTCTCCCCGAAACACGACAAAACGTCCCTTTCAACCTCCAATTTGTAAAGGGACAACTTAGAGGAACACTTGAAAGGCGATGGAAACACTCTTTTAGCTTTCTTCTGTGATCTGTGTGCAAATGAGAAAGTTGATCGTGCAAAGTCTTTCTCTTCTGCTTTCCGATTGATAGCAAAATGATGAATTTATCAATTTTCTTCCTCACGATCCGAGATTTCTTTAGAAAATCCAACTCAATGTCATTTTCTTCCTTCCCTCAAGACTCCACGTCACATCTCATCGCCTAATAAATTGCATTGGAAAGGCACAAAAGTATCAAATCAAATAATTGACAAATTTCATTAACCCATCTCTCCGCACATCAACTTGCTCCTCTTCCACTCTTTGCAATTTGTTGAATTGCAAACCAAGTCGAATCTCAACCCCTCGGACGCGCACATTCACCCTCGGCAGAAAAGAAATCACTCTTCTCAATTAGAGGGTGATTACGAAACAATTGACCCGTGCGACGAGGAGAAGCAATGCCAGAAAAACAGGGGAAAAAAGGGAAGAAGAAGGGGTTTAAGTGTATAATTCACTTAAAACAGATTTATTCCCACATCCTTGCGATGCTGCACACGTTCTTCGGGGAATATTTGCGTGTCACACAATCAACACTTGAGGATTTGTTGTCATTCATGAACCAGCAATTTTCGCAATTGACTCTCTCTCTCTCAGCCAGACAGATTAATAAACTCTAACAACTCTATAATCTCCATATCTCGCCCATAAAGATCACCGTGGAAACTCGCCGGGATCCTGCTTCCCGACGCCACCCAATCACTTGATGCCATGGCATCCGCCGCCCAATGGGAATGCCGCCGGAAACGGTGGCGGAAATGGCGGCGGAGCCATTCACGACGGCAACGGAAACACCGTGATGCCCGGCAATGGGCGCAAGGTGCAGAACATGAGTCTCGTGTGCGTGGTTTGCGGAGACACGAGCTCAGGGAAGCACTACGGCATCCTGGCGTGCAACGGATGCTCGGGCTTCTTCAAGCGCAGCGTCCGACGGAAACTCATCTACAGGTAAAATCACTTGCCACACATTTTTGGAGAAAATGAGAGGAATACTGTATTCGTGTTTGCATTTCATCCCCTTTTCTAATTGTAGTTACTGGTTTTACTATTTTTGCGCTGGTTTTGTATAGAAGTCGCAGAGTTGATAAGCAAGATAGATGAGAGTTCAGAAATGGCCAATTAGAGAATTATATTTCGTGATTAAATCAGGATGAATTGATGAAAAGAATCAGTGAGAACTGAAGACAGTTGCTTTTCAAACTGTTCATGAAGTTCACAACTGAAATTGTTTTGTATTCTTATCAATTCAATCGATTCAATCTTATAAAACAGTCGTTAATTGCCATAATTTTTAATCCCAAATTGTTTAAACAAAGTTAATATAATTATTTTGAGTCTGAAGAACAAGAAACCACACTTTAAGCACTGTTATTCCCCAGAAGCTTCAGGAAATAAGCAGATTTTTTCCACAGTTCGTAATTTCTCATCTATTTCTGAACATAATCAACTCTGAGAAATAACAATCTCGCCTCCGAAATGGTATCAGATGCTTGATGATGCTATTTAAACAGGGGATTTAATATTTAAATTTATGCAGTGACATAAAAATCCGTGAAAAAAATAACTTTCAGTCCTCACACCATTGCTCTTTTGCCACCCCTCATGGGCGGGGGTGAATATCAATTTGTATTTTCCCATTGCAAACACCAGGAAATTATTAATTTATTCACTCTGGCGTCAGTGGCAGAGTTGTATACATTCCCGGAGTGTCATATGAATAAGATTGGGGATTACGGAGAAGAAGAAGCAAAATAACAAGGATCAAGTGAATCCCACTTGGTGCCAAATGTGACCATCAATTGCTCATGCCTCTCTAAATGGTCCTCATAAATCCCACAGACTGCGAATCCCCTGCGCGAGGGTTGGAAGCCTCGGCGAGCAAGGGCGGGGAAATTATTGAAATATCTCAACTCGCTTCGCGCGCAACATTGGGCAAATGTGTGTGTGCGATGCATCAAATGGACATTTGGGAGAGATTCTTGCCGATTAAATTGCAAATATCATCAAATGCCTCAGCGCTTAAGCCGGTCAAGAGCCCGAAATCAATTTATGCAAATTGCAAGAGCGAATGAATCAAAACGCAATTATCCCTTGATTGTGCGGGAAGAAAGTGTATCACGCAGGATTTTTCCGTCGCTCACCGACGGGATTTAATCCTTGTGGTGGCAACAGATTCCAAAAACACCAGGGGTGCGCCAGGAGGAAATCCCATTTTTGTCTTTCCATCGGGAGCGCAGATGGTCAAAGGAGATACTCGAATTGATTTGTGAAAAATTGAAGTCACCCGAATCATCCTCTTTGCCCATCTTCTGCACCACTCAAACTCATCCGCAATTATATCACAAGGATGCCAGACTCAAAAGGAGAGACAATTCCCAACAACCTCAGGGGTGACTTTATTAATTCCAAATGAGATGAGCAGCGCTTCTATTGAGGAACGATAATTGGAGAGACATTCTGAAGAATCTGCAAATGATGAGCGATTTCAATGCAAATGAATATATCAATTTGTGTGCTGCTGCAGGTATATTTCTGCGAAGAAGTTGCTTGAGTAATCCTTAACAATCATCCCTGACTTCTTGCTCAATTTAATCCAGAGATTCACCCCCAAAGGGGGAGATATTACGAAGTTGTGTAAGGATTAATATTAGAATGAAAGCCTTCTTTTGCGTTTCTCGATTATGTGATTTATTCTATTTATACGAAACGGCGATAAAACTAAACAAAATTGGTGAAAATCAAACATAACCACAAAAATAGAATATGGGATTGAGAAAATGGCAATTTTAAGAGCTTTTCTACCTAGTTTTGAATCATAATCCGTAATTTTGAGTCCATTGGCAAATTGTAAAAGTTCAAAAAACTTTCAAAAGGATTACCTCAGCTGTTCAGAAGATTCTTTCAAATCTGTCCTATTATTTGTGAGGTTATGATTAGAAAATAAGATTCCTTTGCAGATTAAATCAAATATATTGATTGAGACCTTCCAGAATCTCTTAAGAAAAGTTACCAAACAGATTTTAGACTGATAAATTGAATTCAATTGTTCAGCAGGACAAAAACCTTTTTGGAGTCTTTAAGTACAAATTTTAGGTTCATATTCTCACAATTTGATCTTGACACCTTGATTTCTGAAGACAACAGTGTGATGTACAGATTTAAGTCACATTATCTCCCCCTTGACTCGTTCCTTCTTCTCTCCAACAGATGCCAAGCAGGCACAGGACGCTGTGTCGTGGACAAGGCGCATCGGAATCAATGCCAAGCTTGCCGGTTGAAAAAGTGCCTCCAAATGGGCATGAACAAAGACGGTAAGATACTTATTCCCAAAAAAAAAACATGCCAACAACCCCTTCAGAGGAGGCAATCTTCCATGAAGAGGCCACAAAGAATGGTGTTGTGTGTGTGTGTGAATTTTAATGATGGTAAAACTCAGCGCCAGTGCAGAATATTTATGCAAATTGGGCACAATTACCGCATCTTTGGTCACACTTTCGCCACAGACATCAAATTTAGTGTAAATTTAACCAATTGGAGGGCCAACGAGAGGCTCTTTCATCTCCTCACCGCGCGCGCGAGCGGGAAATGAGGTGGGCGGAAAATCGTTTGCATACGCGTCGAGCACGTGCATCGCGCGTCGGGAAATCTGATTTGCGTCTCTCTGCGAAAAGAACACCCTGTCGTCGAGTCCTCGAGGGCAGAAAGTGGCCCTGAGACCCCCCGCGCCGAAGGTGTCGCAATTTGAGGCGAGCATTTGCTCTGTGGGCCCCGGACAATCACGGCACGTGTCACACATTGTTTTACCACCCGTGCGTTTTTCCATTTTCTCCACGCTGACTCGCATCTGACCTGCCGCTGATCCTCCGTCCCCGGAACAGCACCAGAGCGCCCCACCCCGGACATGCCCTGGTCACTTGCACGCACAATTCTGTGCAGCTCTTTAGCGCGCGACAAACAATAATAATTATTCCATTGCACTTCGGCGCTTCAGAGGATTTAACCATTTAGTAAATCGCGAGATATTGTACCTCTTTCGCTCATTAGCATTTCACATTAAGCACATTTTTAACCCCTAACATTGCGAGTGAATCGAAGAGTAAAGTTCAGTAGGAAATATTCTGTGGACTGAAGCTGTGAAAATTCAGTCAGACTTGAGAATGCTTTTCCTAAGTTTTTAAAGACTTTTGATTTGTTATAAACGAGTAAATTCTCAAGAAAAGCCCCTAAATTAGATTTAATTCTATTTATTTAATTCAATTTAAGCCGCTTCACAACTTAAACAAAGCAAATCACAGTGAAAATGATATAAAATTAATCAAATTCCATGTTAAGTATTCTCATAAGCCGGGTTTAATTTGCCATTTCTAAGAATATCTTTATTGTTATTTGCCCCTTAATTTTAAATATCAAATCCTAAATGCTCAAATCACACAAACGATCTCTATTTTCAACCCATTTTCACCGATAATTTAATTCTTGTTCAAAAACTTAACAGTTTCTTGCATCATTTCTCTCATCAACACAAATTCAGTCTTGAAGAAGTTTCTCTCCTCCGTCAATCTCCGGACATCTTCTCTCGCGGACTTCAGTAAGTAGTAAAATTGCTGCAAAAATACATTACATTGCCTAGTGAATGCGGAAGAAAGCGCTGAGAAGCACTCACCATTTCCCGGAGAGTGTACGGTTCTGAAGGCGGATGATCAAATTTGTCTGCCTCTTCTGGGCGAGGAAGGGCGTCTTCTCGCACAGGGGAAGAATGCCTAGAGCAGTCGAGGGAACAGGGAGATCTCTTCAGGCTGTCTTGCAGCGTTGTGGTCAGCAGAGGATCCTGATCTGGAGCGCTGCTGATTGGCTGTGAAATTGCTGAATTTGTCACGTCTGCAGAACAGTCACTCGTCGTCCTTGTCGTTCTCTTTGGTTTCTTTGAGATCACATTGAGGATTCTGTAGTGAATCGATCCCTTATTAACAGGAACTCCCAGTTTTTCGCAATCTCGCTGATGTCTCCAAGCGCGGCCTCTCATGCTGTGCCAAGACTGTGAGGATGTGGAAAGGAAATTAATCATTTGACCGGATATTTTTGTGATTCGCGCTTACAGTTCTCCACTGAGTTTCTGTCTTCTTGGCGCCATTTGGCACTGCATTGAGAGCATCGGTGAGTTCTTGCCACGCCTTGGCGTTCTTCGCAGTCAAGATTGGACCCATTCGTGATCCTCGGCCGATATTGAAGTCAATCGGGTTCTTTCCAATCGTACTAATGAGAACATCAAATTGCTCTTGAGTGTGGTGTTTCTATTTTCCATGAAAGAGCAGAGAAATCGCTTAACTTGAGGCTCTTTTGTGAAAAAAACCCACAAAGAAGGAAGAGAAACAAACCTTTGTATTGGGTTGACTTCGCTGACTCTCATCTGCTTCTTAATAAAAAGAAAATCACCATTGGAATTGCACTGACGAACTCTTCAATTAATTACACTCACCTTCTGAGTCGCTGGACATGATTTCTTTGATAAATCACGCTGAAAATACTGAAGGATCGCGCTAAACACCAAATTGCGAATCGCACCGGCAATGTCACTTATCAAAAATATTTACAAGTGTAGTTGAAAGTAATTCTGCTAGAGTTCGCGTGTGTTGAATCTGGCGTTGTTGCGCGCCACATTCAAAAATTCATTTATTTAGAATACTTGGAATACTTCAGCTTCTTCTCATCCTTCTCCTTGAGCAATTTCATTGCATCCTGCATCATTCCCCTCATCAATAGGAATTCATTCTTGAAGAAATCTCTCTCCTGTCGCATTGAGTTCAGCAAATGAAAGAATTGCATTTCCCTTTGCGTGTAAGGCTGCGGTGGAATATTGGTGAATGTGCGTGAATTATGTGGTTGATTCTTCAACACGCTGTCAAAATAATCCGAGCAATCCTTGGAACAATCCAAATCCTCGGCATCATTGTTAACTTGCGGGGAAACAGATCGCGGAGATGATTTTGTGGAAAACCCGAGAGTTGTGGTCAGCAGAGGATCCTGATCGGCCAGAGAATCTCGCTGTTCACCCTCTGGATGGGGTGGAGGAAGAGTTGTGTCATCGTCGCTCATGCTGTGCTCTTGCGACTCGCTTTTCGTCGCAATCATTGGAATGTCCGGAAGCTCTTTCCAGACGCGCAGAGCGCGCTCTTCGAAGCGCGTCAACTTCACCCTGGGCGGGTGTCCTGATTTGGCCTCCTCCTGCGCCGTCTTCATCTTACTGGTCAGATTGTAGTGCCAATTGCGGAAGTTAATCGACCACTCCTCCGGAGATCTCTGCGGCGCTCCGGCTGCGTTCAGCACCTTCGACAGCGTCGCCCAGAGCCTGTGGTACTGCGGATGCATGCTGTCTAGTATTCCCGGGTGTTTTGTCGCAAAATCCACAAAGGTTTCCCGCTGCTCCTGATTCGTGCGCGGGCCGCGACGTTTCGTTCCTGAGAAACACCCAAAATAAATCCTCAGTCTCATTGCATTTTTGCTGTGCGCTTCAAAACACTCCACTTACCAGGCGATTCTGTGGGCAAATCACCCCAATTGGGTTCCATTTTACTTTAATTCGACACTTAAATAACTTTTACACGTAAAATTAGTGCAGGAAATGCAGAGACAGAGTGAAAATCTGAAAATTATCCAACAGCTGATTGTGTTGTAAACACTCAATGACATTTCACAAAATTCACCACGCCTGACATTTCACTTTCACCTCACTTGCTATAAAATTTAAAAGGAATTCCAGTAAAAAGCCATTGAGTGTTAGAATTTAGTGAATTATACTTATTTCAAAATTAAATTCAAGGGATTACTTCGAGTATATGAAAATGATGAAAATTGCCTGAAAAACACACACTAAACGCGTTTTTCTTTGTGTGAATATTTTTTCAAAACTATGCAATATTTTTCCACCAGAGGCGCTGACGGTGTGGCGCCATGATGCTTTTTCTGGATCCTCAAAGAATTTTCTTGCTTTTTTCCACTCTTCAGCCGTGCAGAATGAGCGTCAGCCACGAAACACCGCCACAATTCGTCCGGAGGCTCTGCGTGACATGGAACAAGGACATGCCCTGCGCGAGGCAGCGGTTGCAGTGGGGGTTTTCAGGTAAAAGAACGCACAGAAAGGTGCTGAGAAAGTCTCACTGTGTGGAGACATTGTGGCAACTGCCAATGATTCCCAGAAGTTTCGATAATATTTTCAGTCCTCCCGTGTCGCTGCTGCCTTCCAATCGATACGGCCCGGGACTTCTCACTCCTCCAGGTAGTTTCACGTGGTGGGAAGAAAGAGGGAAGAGAGTTATCATTGCGTATCTTTGCAGCGCTCAATGCTGTTCCCGTGAGCACTCTGTTCCAGAATCCATCGTCATTCCCTCTGAGCAACAGCATTGGCCACCACGGATCTCCGCTGGGGACTTCAGGCGGCGCCCTGGGCAGTGTGGGCGTCATGAGAACGGGCAGCAGTAACAGCAATCACGAGAGTGTTTGTCCGTTGAATGCTTCGACGACGTCCAGCAACAATTCTCAGCCGCCGGCGTCGCCGCCGCTCAGCAACTCGACCAAGGAGGCCGGCAGAGTGGATAACTGCGTGAAGGCGGCTCCAGAGTCCGCCAAGAGCATGTCTTCAGTGGGATCTTGCAGTCCCATTCCCTCAAATGACAACGATGGTGAGATTCGGGTGGGATTTTCTGTGCAATAAAGAGTGTGTTAATTTGGGCTTCTTTGGGGCTTTGCAGAGGACTCCATTGATGTCACGAATGACGAGGAGACTGACCGCTCGCCCACGGGCCCCATGCATTGCCTGATGCCCCCAAAATTCTACGGTCATCCACAGGAGACCATCTTCGAGACGAGCGCTCGGCTGCTCTTCATGGCCGTGAAGTGGGCCAAGAATCTGCCCAGCTTCGCCAGTCTGCCGTTCCGCGATCAGGTGATCCTACTGGAGGAGTCGTGGGCGGAACTGTTCCTGCTCAACTCCATCCAGTGGTGTATGCCTCTGGACACGGCCAGCTGCTCTCTTTTCTCCTCCGCCGAGCACTGCGCCAATCTCTCCAATCCGGGCGTGATGAAGCAGACGCAGGTGGCGCAGGACGTGCGTACGCTGCACGACACGCTGTGTCGCTTCAAGTCTGTGCTCGTGGATCCGGCGGAGTTCGCCTGTCTCAAGGCGATCGTGCTGTTTCGCTCGGAGACGCGCGGCCTGAAGGATCCGGCGCAGATTGAGAATCTGCAGGATCAGGCGCAAGTGATGCTGGCGCAGCACTGCCGCAGCCAATTTCCCGGCCAGATTGCGCGCTTCGGCAGGCTGCTTCTCATGCTGCCACTCCTCCGGACCGTTCACTCGCACAAGATCGAGTCGCTGTACTTCCAGCGCACCATCGGCAACACACCCATGGAGAAGGTGCTCTGTGATATGTACAAGAACTAGGGGAGGATCGCTGTAATTGTGTCTGTGTCTCAGTAAAACTCGTGGAAATCAAGCCATATTCAATTTATTTGCAACTCTCTCTCTCTCTCTCTCACTGACAAACCGGGCACGATGCGTAGTCCTTGCAGGATTCCTGGCAGACAAGGTGATGGAATTGGGTGAAGTAGTAGACTCTCCCCTTCTTGAGTCCAACCACAATCATGCGATAGATCTGGGCGCAAATGAGCCTTCCAGAATCGTCGAATTCATCCAGGTTGATGCCGTGAGCCAATGCGTACTCGTGCACTTCCGTCGTGTCCTCCGGAACAGACGGTGTGTAAGCGCACTGAGGAAGCCCGTAATACTTCCGGGCATCGTCGCCACTATTGCGGGGGTCCTTCTCTATCCACTTTCCGAGTTCGTCTTCGAGAACCCAGACATCGATCCTGGGCAGCTTCGCAATGCAAGCCCTGATGTGCTTCTGGACCACTTTCGCGAACTCCTTCTCCAGAAAAACGTTGTTCTCATCCATAATCGGAGGATAGAGAACAACCTTAGCTTTCCCCGTATTACCTGAAGTGCCTGCCATCCTGAGAGACTGACGAGTAACGAATGATCTGGAGCGTTTGGAGCCAATTTCCGGCTTCTCCAAAATGGAGCCCATTTTACAGTTATATTTTGGTGGGAGCGGAATTCGAAATGATCCCCCTAGCGGAATCCAGAAGAAACAGTGCGCTATTCACCACGAATCGGGAAATCAGAATGTTTGCATTTGTGTGCTGACATTTTCGCAATTTTCCCAGTGATTAAGTGCGTGAAAAGTTTTCCAAACTACTGAAAAGTCTTCTAGAAGACTCATAAAGTCAATTCCACGTGAAAGTTTTCCACCCTCGGCGTTTACAAACTGTAAATTGGTAGGTAAATATAGTGTATTTGAATGTGAGGTTATGTTTTGATTTCATTTGACGTGTCGTTTTTTATTCTTGATGGATTCTCTTGGATTTTTCAGTGAGAAAACTGCAATTTTCCAGTTCTCCATCTGATTAAGAGGGCAGTAAACAATTCCAGTAAACTATAGATTATGGCCGAGTTAAATTCATCAGTGTCAGATCGAAGTGACGACACATTGTACAGAAGTGCTCTGGACAATAGTGGATTTGGTGAGTGGTTTTCTGGAAATTTCGTGTGGCAAATCGACTAAATGACTTCTGTGTGGGCTGTTCTAGGTTCCGAAAGCGACACCACACAGACCGCCAGCGAGATGAGCAGTGAAACCCTGGAGAATACGCTTCAGTCGAATGTGAGTGCAGAGGATGTGGCTTCTTCTGTTTCTACACAGCTCATTTCTTTGCAGGATGAGTCGTCAGTCCTGATGGCCGATGATGAGAAGACCCTACACACGCCAGAAGCTAGCAGGAAGCGAAAACACAGCCACGAGGAGGTGATTATGATCAGCAGCGATGATGAGACGGAAACGGCGGCTGCGTCCACTTCCACCACGACCACAGTGGCGGAGAAGCCCGCGATGGAACCGCAGAGAAGCACTGAGATCAAGATCTACAGCAGCCTGGAGGAGTTCGACAGGAATCTGCCGCCAACAGTGAATCTCCTGACCACGCCGCACGGCAGTCGAGTGTATCTGGTCGGCACGGCGCACTACAGCGAGGAGTCACAGAACGACGTATCGCTGGTGATCAGGAACGTGCGCCCGCGGATTGTGGTGGTGGAGCTGTGCGGCTCGCGCATTCACATTCTCAAGTACGACGAGAAGACGCTGCTGGAGGAGGCGAAGGACATCAACATGAGCAAGCTGCGCAACGCCGTCCAGTCCAATGGCGTGGTGATTGGGCTGCTCTTCATCCTGCTGCTGAACATCAGTGCCAAGCTGACGGAGCAGCTGGGCATGGCGCCGGGCGGGGAGTTTAGGCGTGCGCTGGAGGAGGCACAGAAGCTGCCGCACTGCATGCTTCATCTCGGCGATCGGCCCATCAACGTGACGCTGCAGCGCTCGCTGCACGGACTCACGTTCTGGCAGACGCTGAAGCTCGTGTGGCGCCTGATCACGTCGGATCTGAAGATCAACAAGGAGGAGGTGGAGAACTGCAAGCAGAGCGATCTGTTGCAGAAGCTGATGGAGGAGATGGCCGGCGAGTTTCCCGCCTTCGAGACGGTGTTCGTGAAGGAGCGCGATCTGTATCTCTGCCACACACTCCAGATGGCCGCCTCCACGCCACTGCATCCCGGCGAGCCGCTGCAGCCCATCAATGTGGTGGGCGTGGTGGGAATCGGACACTCGGCCGGCATCATGGCAAATTGGGGAAAAGTGGATTCGCGACGAATTGCGGAGATCCTCGTCATTCCGCCGCCCACGATGCGCGGGCGGATCATCAGGGCCACGATCAAGTACGGCTTCCTGGGCGCCGTGGGGTACGGCCTGTATCGCGCGGTGCGACCTCTTCTGCCCAGGATCTTATGATGTCTGATATTCATTCTACTGTAAGACGAACTCTCGTGCGGCCAATCAACCCAGAGACCAGCCACTAAACCAATTCTTTGCCCAATTTGTCACACTTTTTGCCGTGTAAATATTCTTTCTTGTCCATTTGTCTGAATAATAAAAATTCATAGAGAACATATATGAGAAGAGAGATTTCTGTTTTGTCGGCGCATTTTCAAATTGTCGAACTGCGATGGACCGATTGAGTTCCGATTCGCTCATCGGGCAAGAAAGCGCATCGGAAAAGGGCAGCACAGTTTCAGCAGCACGTGTTTGTGGCGTCTTGTAAGTGAAAATTGCCGGAAAAATGCCAAAGGTTCAGAAGACAAAGAGCGAGGAGGAGATCCAGGTGTCCCCAGAGCCTGTGAGAAGTGAGTATTTGCTGCTATTTGATGGAGATTGCATGAAAAATCATGCCACAAATGTGGGCGCAACTTGGTTGGGAATCTATTAACGGGATCAACGGGGGACGCTTGAAAAAAGCGTAAATTGTGCACTTTTCTGTATGTGGCTTCTGTTCTATCGCCCCCTTCTCGCTTCCAGTGACCCGGGCTGTGGCCAGGAGACTGGGATCTGTGGAGAGAGACACTCCAGGCACGCCGAAACGGTCGAATTCGGTAATGTCCTTGGACACAATCATTGAAGACACTCCAGGTGAGTTTTTGCGCACTTTCCGGGAATTCTTGATCAGCAAACTCGTTTGAACTTGTTTGCAGGCGGAACAAGATCCACCAGAGCCGCGAAGAAGACTCCTCCGCTGGAGACCATTGATGAGAAGGGTGAGAATAGTGTTGTGATGTCACAGCGAGAAGTCACTGAGCTATTTTCCATGTGGCATTTAGGCAATCCGACGGAGAATCGCATCGGCACTCCGCGAAGGTCGCGCAGGACGTCAGTGATTGCCGATTCTCCCATGCCACAGAGCTTCACGGCCTATCGCCGGCCGGCCAGTGATCAAGAGTCCAATTCCACCACCACCACACCCAATCCTGGACAGCCACGCATAACTCGCCAGCGGGCAGCGTCCAATCTCACGCAGCAGAACGTGGAGAGTCTCAATGGACGAAGTGTGTCGTTCAGCAAGTCGCCGGAGAGCGATCAGGAGCGCGTGCAGTTCCCCAAGACGCCCAGAGCGGCGGCCAAGACGGCCAAAGAGGCGGACACTTCGTCAGAAAGTATTCCCTCGGACAAAGTGCCGATGGTGCACCTGGAGCGCCTAACGTCCATTCGCATTTCAGATGAGGGACAAACCGCGCAAGTGTCTGAGACTCAGAACAGCCCGAACGGCGAGAAGGTGGTGGAAGTTGAGGCTGGCAATGAGGTGGAGGAGATTGTTGATGGTGCTGAGAAGGTGGAAAAGACTGCCGAGGACAAGACAGAGGAGAAAGTGCCGGAAGATTCTGGGTAAGACTTTGCTATTCGTCAGTTTGAATGAGTGTTATTTTGACCCTCTTTTTGGTCTCTTTCAGTGTCACTGATGATGCGAAAACGGAGTTCTCCACAAGCTGGACTCAGTCTGTGACTGGTCATAAGGATAGCGAGGGTCCAATTGACGCTTTCGGCGAGAAGGAGCGCAAGGAGGAGAAAGAGAAGCGTCAAGAAGTGCTCAAAGAGGCGGAACAACCCATTAAACACATCTACAAACTAGTGAAAATCGACAGTGAAGATGACTATGCAGAAGAGGACGATGAGGAAGAGGTGAAAACGGGTGATTTTATCGACGATGAAGCTATAGAGGTGGACGACGAGGAGGAGTCTATGGATGAGGAGGAGCGCAAATATCTGAATGACCACGAAATTCCCGTAGATGGAATTTCTCTGGGATCGGAGGATTCCGAAGATGATCGGGAGGTGGATGATGATGACGAAGAGGATTCTCAAGATGACTTCATTCAGTCTTCCGGCGATGAAGCCGAGGAGAGTGCCGAAGATGATTCGCTGGATGAATTGGAGGCCAAATGTGAGACGGTGAAGAAGGGCAGGAAGAGAATCCGGGAGATTGAAGACAGCGACGAGGAGATAGAGAGATATAAAGACACCACCCTTGTACGCTTCCAAGGAACGGTCTTGTCGAACTTGACAGAGGAGGACAAGAGAGTGATTGATGCGGAGTTCGATCAGGATGTGTCAATGACTTCTCTGTCGCCGTCTGAAAAGTCCAAAACGCCACAGAAAAGTCCTCAGCGTGAATCGGTGCCGAGAAATCTTGAGAAGGATTTACGAGAAACCCCCGTGAAGGAGGCGCTTGAGGAAAAGGAGTCTCCGGAATCACCAAAGCCATCATCTGACAGCGATTCTCAGTCAGAGGAAGAGAAGGAGGGGAAGAAAGAGTCGGAGAGCGATGGCCAATGGGAGGATCTTGAGGGGGAGGAAGAGGAGGAAGCGACTTCTCAAGGAAAATCCTTCAGTGCTATAACGGCGCGCTGTCAGGAGTTTCTGCAGAAGAAGCGTGAGGCTGCTGGTGTTCTGAGGAAGATTAACCAGGAGAAGCGCGAGAAGAAGCGGGCGGCGAAGGAGCGAAAAGAGGAGTTGAAGAGGAAAGCGGAAGAGAAGCGCGCTGATCTGGAGCGTCTCAAGGCGGAGTTGAAGGAGAAAAAGCAGCGCGAGAAAGAAGCTCAGCAGCAGGTGAAGGGTGAGGAGGAGCATCCAGTGGTTACTGCGCAGGAAGAGAATCCTCGGCAGTCCGCCAAGACGGATTCAAAGGCCAAGGCAAAGGCTGTTGAAATGATTCCGGAAGCCACGAAGGAGTCCACGAAGAAGAAGAAGAGGGTGAAGCGTCAGGATGCTGTGAACGAAGACACTGAAGAGTCCATCGTGCAGAAGAGCAAGAAGAAGAAGAAGGAAAGACAGCAAGAATCCCAGCAAGAGGAGGAGGAGATGTCGATGAAGAGGAAGAAGAAAAAGGTGAGTTTTCAACACACTTTCTTGGACAGAAATCTAATTTTTGTGTACTCTGGATTTCAGACTGTTCCGGCGGAAGATTTGCCATCAAAGGATCCCAAGCGTCTCCCTCTGTCTCTGCTTAATCAACTTGCTGCCACTGAACGCACGCCGAAGATCAAGGACAGGAGCAAGAGAACTGCGGAAGAAAATCCGGAACACACTGGAATGAAGAAGAGACGCAAAATTGCTCCGGAATCTCCCAAGCAAATCAATACGACGTCCGGGATGTTCAATGTGGAGCCTCTTGTGGCCAAGGACAACATCTTCAGTGTGCGCGATGCGAAGTTGATAAGGAAGGCGCAGGTGACGAAGCAGTTCAAGAGGGAGAAGAGGCTGAAGCAATTTAAGCCTGCACATCAGGTTCAAGAGCCCAGTGCCGTATTTCCGCGTTCCACGACCTCCTGGACGGCCACCGGAGTGTTCCAGATCACGGACATCCAACCGCAGGTGCGCGTGGTGGAGACCGGAGTCCGTGGGGGCGCCATGGAGTTTGTGGTGACATCACTGGAGCCCAAGAAGGGCATGAGCAAGAAGACTTTGAGCACAAGTGCCTTGGAGAAACCTGCCAAGAGTTTCAAGGAGGCTAAACTGTATGGCAGCGGCACTGTGCGGGAGTCCTCCAAGGACTTAATGCACAGGAATGTCAAAAAGAAGTTCCTCAGCAAGTGAAGCAGTCTCATGGGTCTCGTGTACATTCTCTGCATTTTTTTTCATTAAATTTTTAAATGTTTTGTCAAACTGTTGCAACGGTCAATAACGGTCGCTGTGTTCAAGTTGAATGCGAGAGCGGCTGCCCCTCGAGCTTGTGGACTCGCCCGGAGAGAGAGAAAGAGCGAGAGGCTCTCTGGCTGAAAAGGGAGAGGCGCACACGATTGTGAAGTTTTGCTGAGTGGCATGAGTCTCTGGTGAAAAACGTCTCAGAGTCCGTGAGGAAGAGCGTTATTTTGTGTGTTTTGTCGTGAAAAGTGTTCGTGAGGCGCCAAGACAGCGATATCATCGTAAATAAAATGGTGAGTACTGAGTTTTCTGTGTGAATTTTGCAATTATTATTGGGACACTCTCAGAAGCCGGTGTAAACAATTGGTCGCCATCTTGGAAAATTGTCCCGGCAAAATTCATGTCAAAATTTTCAGCGGCAATTTTCAATGCACGGCCGTGGGTGATGAGGTTTTTTATGGGCGCAGGGCGCTTTTGGGAGGTCTCTGGTGGGGGTTTCGCTGGGTTTTGGGGCGAAGCGCTGCCTGGAAGGGTGTTTTTGACTATTCCCGTCTCTTTCGCTCTCCCTCTGTTGAGTTGCGGGTTTCACACAATCGATTAAATAATTCAGACCGGATGGCGAGAGTGCGCTGGTGTGCGTGGTGAGAGCGAGAGAGAGCGAGCCATCACGTGGGCTCTCCCAATGTGGCCAATGAGCGTGGGGGAATTTCAAAAAGTCGCCGTTTTCCTTTGTGTCATGCGCAGTGAGAGCGCAGCGAGAGAGCGCCGTGAGAGTGTGTGTGTGTGCCGGGAGAGGGAAACCGGAGTGAAGCGCGAACAAAAGTGCTGTCCGCCATTTGTGCGCCAGTTGAGTTTTGTATATGGACTGTGTGTGTTGCGTGAGTGGAAGATTTTCTCACAGCAGAGTGGAATATTATATTCTTGAGCCGTTTTCCCCGCCCGGAACAGCAGAATTCTACACTGTGCGTTGTCTCTGGACGCGAGAGGGAGACGGAGATTGTTGATAAACTGATCTCTTGCATTTTCCCGCGTGAAAAAATCCACAATCGCGCTCGTTCACTGTGGAATATACTCTATATATATATTTTTTGTAACTTTGTGTGGAAAAGAGCGCTTTTTGTACTCTCTTCTATTACACTGCCTGTTCTCTTGTGTGATCCCGAAGTAAATAAAAAGCCATCACAAGTCGGGATTTTGTGGCAGATCGAAGGCGAAAATGTGTGAACTCTTCGATGATATGAGCTCAGGATTTCACGATGTGTTCCTCAATAAATTCTCGGTAAGTTCTTCAGTGCCTCCCATGACTTCCCTTTTGGCGCGATGGATGAGATCCACATGCGGTCGTCTCGCTTGCGCTCACGGGCGCGGAGCGGGAAATTGAGGCGGGAAATGCGATGAGAGCGAGACACGCAGAGCCGTGCAGCCGCCGGCCGGGTTTGTTGGCTCACACGGCCTTGGAATTGAGACGAGAGAAGGCGAAAAGAGGCGCAAAGCGGAGAGAAGAATCCCAGTGTGAATATATGTAGGGATGGCACACATGAGGGCAAAACATTCCGGGAATGATGAGCCAACAAGAGTAAAATCATCATGTTTGGAAAGTGTCACAATTCCGCGACTTTTCCCACACAACAGACTTTTCAACGTGCCGCGAATACATTTCTCACTTATATTCTTCCTATCTTGCTGTTATTTTTTGGTAAGGAGGGCGAAGAAATGGGCAGTTTTCTGAGAAAAGTGCGACAAAATTACTCATCGTCCAGTGGAAATTGCGCGCCGATTTCATTGGTTTATCGCACACGTCGATAGATTGTTTAACATCCGGGATTCTCGGGAAAACTTTATCAATTTATCCGTCGATTCTGTCGATTCACAAGAGTGTGACTTTTGGGGAAAATCATGCCAAATAGAAACCCAGCCGAGAGACTGACCATGCATACATGACAACTCCTTATCACCAGAGCATGTTTGAGATTGCTGAAAGCGCAAATTTTTAATTAAAATATACATAAACACCATACATTGTGCACCAATTGACCTCATTGGCAGTGAAATATAACTCTTTCCCGCGCTTTCTTATCACACACACAATGCGAAGGGGGCGAGAAAAGGGAGGAATTGTTGTGTTGTGTGTAGAAACAATACATAAAAATACAGAGTGCTGAAGCTCTGCTGATAAGCAGGTGACGTTGTGATTTTTTTACGACTATGTATTCGACGGTATATCTACCTATATATATGGTGGAGAATTTTCGTATTTTTCTGCGCGCTCACGGGTGTCCCGGAGAAGAAGAAGAAGTAAAAGACGAGGCGAAAAAAAGGTGTCATTGACATTAGAAGGCGATTTGTGGCCGATTTGACGGTGCGAAAAGAGCCGAGGAAAAAATAAAAGCGCAATATTATTAAATATTTATTGCTCCGCATGTATTTGACTTTTCTTGCCACATTTCCAAGCCCAAGAAAAGACCGAAAAGACACTCTATTCCGTGTGTGTGTTGTGTGTGGAAAAGCGTCATTTCTTCAGGTCTTTTACACCTTTTTTTCTTCTCTCTATCTTCATCAATAAATATTTTTTTCTCCGGTAAATTGCGCGCCGAAATTAATGCCGGAGAGTGTGGAGAAGAAGAAGATGTGGCATTTTTTTTTCTTGCTTCTACGTCGCGAAAAAATATTGGAATTCATGGGTTTTTGTATTTTCTCCTCCGCCTTCGTTTGATGGAGTGAATTTTAAAGATGTGCGTTGGGGAATTTTTAAAATTAGATTATTGACCTAGGGTATGATCGAGTGTCTTTCTCTCCTTTCGCGCTGGCGTAGGTAAAAAAAATTCACTCTTAAGCAAATGTGTGTTTGATGAGTGAGGGATTTAAAAATATACAGTGAACAGCAAAATCTGAACTGAAACTGAAGTTAAATCGTCCAATTACAAGATGTCCTTTTAAATGGCTTTTCAGAAAACAGTTTAGAGAAGATTTCTTAAATGGTCAACTTAGTATATTTTAATGATGATCCTGAAATGATGTTGTGAGAGGTAGAAAAAGGCAAATCTTATTGGGATTTCGTGTGTTTTTTTGTCGGTCCAGAGGAATTTCATAGAAATCCACTTGTCGGGATGTTTTCCTGAGAAATTCTGTCGAGAGGTTCTTTTGTGTCTTCTTTTCTCGTTGTCCTAGTTGACCTGAGCGAAAAGGAGTGTGGATGGGAATGTTTCTTTCCTCTCTCTCGCTCTCCACAACCCCAGATAACCGGCTGAAGGATTAGGGATGTAGACAGGTAGATGAAGTCCCTGAAAACCCCAATTTTGTCTCACTTTTCTCTCATGGGAATTGCTGGGAATTCCCAGGAATCTTAATCATATGGGCTTGAAGATGAGTGTGAATTATGCATATGCTGCGACGATGGTGTTTTTGGGCGGGAAGTCTCGATGCGCGCCTTTTGTGACCACGTGCTCGCGGGAGAAAGAAAAGTGGTTGACATGCACACATATATATTCAACTGGCTGGCGATTTAATTTTTGTCCGAGAGAGAGAGTCAATTCCGTCCAATCCCGCGCTCGCGGTGTCTTTGTGGAGATATAGAGCCAAAAGAGAGCTGTGTGTGATGTGTATGGAGAATATGCCGGCTTATTTACATCATTTGCATATCATTTTCTCACACTGGGTGTCTCTTTTGCCGGGGAAATTAGCATTCTGCTCTTTAATATCTCGCCAACATGCCGGGAAAATAATGATCCCCCGACCATATGAATTTCGTTGTCAGCAAATTTGCCGGTGTTCTGCTGTTGTGAGCTCCGGACAGAGTGTGTGAGTTGGCGATAGGGCTCCAATTATACCGCCAATGTGTGACTGTTAGAGCAAAAAAAAAGAGAGTACCAAAAAAACACAAACAATATAAATGAGAGAGTCTTCTATATGTGGGGGGAAAAAATAAAATTATGTGAATTGATGAAGAGTGAGAGAGTGAGAGAAAGAGTGCGAGTGAGATGGGACGTGGGGAAAAAAAGTTTAAAAAATGTTCAGCCATGAACTGTGCCGATGACTCAATTCGGAATGAATTGTTGGTGGTTCTTGTGTGCCTTCTAAATAAGTTTTCTTTCGCCGTGGGTTCTCGTGTTTTTTTTTCTGTTGCTGCTGCCTCTGCACACACTTCTTTTCCTTTTCCGCGAGAGTGAGACTGGTTTTTAGCGCGCCAAAATTGCCCCTGTGTTGGTTACGTGTTGAGGTTAGATTGTGAGGTTCTTGAAGAAAAATATAGCGTGACTGACTATGGTCTGCTGAAGTCTGTCTCTCTCTCTGGATGTGTCTGGGAAATTGAATAGCGACAGAGAGTTTTGGGGTCTCTGAATCTCTCTTTGGCGCCAATGGTTCAATGCCTAGAGACACAGAGAGTGAGTTCCTCTTCTAGGCTCTCGACCTCCTCGTTAGTTAGGAGTTTCTCCCCTTTTGCTTTGGCGCAAATGAAGCTGATTGATTTTGTTGTATCGAGGAGTGTGAGAGAAGATGATGGGGAAATTGTGATTAATTAATGTTCCGTGATTATCTGTGATAAATAAATTAGGTGTAATGATTTTGTGGATATAATTTTCTCGAGCCAACATCCCCGAAAGGTTGTAATTCGATTTATGATGGGTAGATGATGTTGGGGGTTGTATGTTCAAGAGGAACAGAGAAGGGAAGAGAGGAGGATATGTAAATGGCCACCAGGAAGTGATGAGACAAAGGACACATGGTGTGAAACAAAAAGATCCACTTGCAATCGAGAACCAGGAATCGTACAAGAAGAGAAAAAAAGAACGATCATCCCACAGAAAAGGTTTCACACACAGTGTGTTGGGCAGAAGGACAGAGGATAAGGGAAAGACGAGGAAGAGAGAGAGAGAAAGGGAATCAATTGCGAAAATGACTATAAAAGGGGAAGAAGAAGAATACAATGGAATGGTTTTTTCTCAGTTTCCTTTGGTCTCTTCTTTTCCTCAACTTCTTTGGCTTTATGTTTGAGAATTCTTATAACCACACAGTATGGGATGTTGAGAAGTCATGTTCCCAGAACCAGTTTTCTACATGAGAAAATTTTTCCTCTAAAAATACTTTAATGCCTTTTGGAATTATTCTCAAGCACACACAACACTCCACAAAAGCTCTCTCTCTCTCTCTCCACTCACACAATTTTCTTCACACAACACGTCGTGAGGCGTATGAAGATGTGGAGAGTTATGTGTATGACCACACGATGGATGATGGAAGAGGTGCGGAAGACATGACTGAGAGTGAAAAAAGTAGTGCTTAAGATCACCTTTGGAAGTCACTATACTCCATAGGGTCCTTTATTGTGGCACAGCATTGAGCGATAAATTGATTAGTTTCCTCTTCTCAACCCACACGATATTTACATTCTCTTTTTTCCACTCACGGGAAAGCGTAAACAGACCATAGTCGTTAAATCATAAGTGTTTTCTCGAGGATTACAAGACACTCTAATGTAGTCGTATTTCAAAACACGGTTAATCTTCAGTGTGTGCGCTTATCTAAAATAAAGTACAAAAATTATTAAATTTCTTTATGAGCTTCTCGAGTTGGTGTCTGTCTAGAGAAAGGCTGAGTTAGGAACACATTGCAAGACCTCTTTTTCTTGGGTGTTTCAGCTGTCTTTTTCGGGGCTGTGGAAATTCGCCACGGACAAGGGCAAATAGACGTTAATTTTTCAACTTTCACCCTCCGTTTGGGCCGTGCATTTATGAGGCAATACATTATACCCGAATTATTATTATTCTCAATCACACAGGTTCGCTCTTAGGGGTAGGGGTTGGATTCAGGCTGATAAATTGGGTTTGTTAAGGTAGGGGACGTGAAATTCAAGATTTCAAGATCAAACTTGAGGAACTAGATAATTCAGATAACTATAGATATATTCAAATTTTTTTTCTGACAAATAATAGTAAATTTTGTAACCAAAAAAAGTCACAGCTTTAGAAAACTACAGTTTCATGGGTTGAAATAACCCCCAAATGATCCCGACTGAATTTTTAAAGACTCCGCCACAGTGTTTTATTGGTCGGGAGTAATTGGCAATGGTATGGGAGTTTGATGGAATTTTACCGGGTCGTTTTGTATTAATGGTCCCATGGAGACGGGAGAAAATCATTACCCAGCATCGAGCTCTCACCCCCCCTGTGACCTGGCCACCCTTCTGTAAAATGTCACCATAGGGAGACCATAGAATCTGGGCAGTGGGAAAGAGCGAGAGAGAGAGAGAGAGACTCCCTTGAGGTGAACTTATACACCTTC